ATAGAATATGTAATTATGTATAAAGGGCTGTCTCATGATTAAGCCAGCATCATTTGGAATGCATACTTGTACGAAGATAGACCGGTTTTACTGTTAGATATATCTTAATAAAAGATTCATATAAACCATGACGTTACATGCAGTACCTAGTGGTGAATAAATTATTATTACAAGGTATTATTACAATGGTAATGTAGGCATGTCTTAATATTGATCTAAAACCTCCAATGCTAATCGAGGCATGTCTGATCATAAGTAATTAAGAATCGATCGATCAAACCCTGGCCATGGTCTATTCTAGCAATTAATTTGGCGAAGGGTCTAAACTGCAGGTTAATGCAGGTCGTTGAAGTTTAATGCAGGTCAGTGCAGGTTTGCAGGGCATTGCAGGTTAATGCAGGCCGGGTAATGGTTCATGTACAGATCTACTTTGGCCTGTGTTGCCCAGACGGTTTGACAACTGGCTTAACATTAAATGGGGCCAAAAAATCACGTTCAGAGTAAGAAAATAGCATCCCGGTATCGACGATAACCGACATTAATAACGTAATATACAAACAGGCCACAATTTCTTGAACTTTGAATATAACTTAAGGCCTTGATACACTAAGGAAAGTTTCTGAAACAATTTTTTAAGGTGGAAAAACTGCAAGAATGTGGACTCCAAGGACATTTACACTCAAAAAGTGAAAAATCTTCCCAGCCGTTTATAGTAAAACAAAAGGTTTAAAATTTTTTATGATATGCTTGAAGCTTGTTTCATAAAAGTTTGTTTCGGAGACTTTTCCTAGACTAGTGTATCAAGGCCTTTAGAGTAATTACATATCATATGCTAAATCACTATGGTTTTAACGTGTTCTTTCTGTTCGCAGCCGCTCTGTTGTAACTTTTTGCTTGTTCTTTTTGCTCGCAGCTATTAATAATTCAAACAATGTCAAATTTTCATTGAAAACAAAACAAACATTTTCACGAGAGTGATATAGTTGAGTGAAAGCAGCACCATATGTACTCGTGTAGCTTAACCAGCACCGACCTGCAATTAACCTGCACCGACCTGCAACCCTCCTGCTTAAATACAATAAATTTTAAAGTTTTTGTTAAGTTTAATGAAAGCTTATTTGATTTAAACCACTCCGTCAATTTTTAAATTTCGTCATTCAAAATTTGTATCAATTGAGCAGGGTTTTTATATTTAAGAACAATAAAGGCAGAAAGCACAAACCACCTTTAGCACAAACCACCATACATTCAGTGTATTTAGCTAAGAAAAATTTGTATGAATTGTTAGGGTCATCATACCCGTAGGAAAATGAAAGGTCTAAATAGATCGTAAAAAGTCTAGAAAAAGTCTTGTAGGCCTATCCTAGACCTTTCCTAGACATTTATGTGTCATTAAAAGTCTACCGATTGTCTTGCAAGACCTCTATGCTGTGGCTACTGTGAAATTGTCTTGAGACAAAGTCTTGAAAGGTCTACAATAAGTCTTTTTGGTAAATTTGATATCCCGCTGTTCTTTGCTGAACTGAAAGGTCTAGCAATACGTACAGTATTCTAATTAGACGTACGCACAGACTTAGTCTTAGCCAGTAGCTATTACGTTTAATTGAAAGGCTGTTGTTGCGTTCAGTAGACAAACAGATGATCAGATTATGATTTATACTTTCAGCAGTGGAAAAGGTCGGATATATGTACCTGCGCCTGTTTATTATTGCTATATACAGTATAAGAGGACGTACTAGCTATAGCTATACTATAATTTGTGTGTCGGCGGTAGGCCAATCTTTAAAGGCATGCGTTTCATCCTCACCACGCAATAATGCAACTCCTATATAAAGTGAATATATGATTATCTTAGCCAACTATGATCTTACTGTGCAATGTTGTTAAGAGAAGAGTAAAGTTCATATTCTTCTCTGCGCGTGAATTTGCCAAAACTGAAATGCGTGGGAAGTGGCGTGTCTATATAGTAGTATCTGCAGTATATGCAAGGAATGCAGTAAAACAGCTGTCGTGTAAAATTTATTGATTGTAGATCTGATAAAGGTTTGGCTGAAATCCGAGTCCTTCGATCACATGTTTGTAATCTCCCTCACTGATTGGTCAATGTTACTCGGTGTCCAATTTTGGCGGTCAAATTGATATTTCATGCGACAGATTGCTCGTACACAGCAGAACTGTTTCTATTACAAACCAACTTTATCTTCGGAATTATGTCGGAAATAAATTTGCTTTTGTCTTTTGGAATGACGACCAACAATTTAGTGTAGTGAAAGAGGAGGATATAACAGGAGAGGCGAAATTGGGTGAGATTCGACCAGTGGCTTGGAGGGTGAAGAAGAAGAAGGGTGAAGTGATAATGAGCTGGTGGTATGAAGCGAAAATACTTATAAGCTTTTATTTTATTCTTGTGTAATACTTATAAGCTTATATTTTATGTGAGATTCGACCAGTGGCTTGGAGGGTGAAGAAGAAGAAGGGTGAAGTGATAATGAGCTGGTGGTATGAAGCGAGATATACTTATAAGCTTTTATTTTATTCTTGTGTAATACTTATAAGCTTATATTTTATTATACTTATAAGCTTATATTTTATTCTTGTGTATTGTCTATTGATGTCTATTGATGTAATTATCAATATTTCATTAATACCCTTCATAATTTGTCTTGCTGTTGGCCGTTGTCGATGTATATTATGGTGTGTTTTTATATGCAAGCCATACAACGAACTTCTTCACCTGCATCTATAATGACGGCCAATGATAAAGCATGCAAGCTAGACAATCTCGATCGTCACTGCGTACAACTAGATTATAGGTCGCATTTATTTGACCATATACTATAAGCAAGGTATATAGCGATATATTTTATTTTTAGATTTTATGAATGAAAAACTGTATTGAATCTTGTCCTACAATGCCAGTATTTATACAGACATACAGTGTCGTTAATCGCGAAATTAATCCCTGAAATTATTGCAGGTTTCTTGTTGAGCCAGTCTCAGTTGAAAGTCTACAGTGAAACTCTTTATCTTTGCTATTTGCCTTCTCCCCTTCGGCTACGTCAAGATGGCTGCCTATGTCTAGTTACTGGACACTCTTTGATTTAATGTAATGTAACGTAAAAGCTATCGCAATGAAAGAAAGATCATTGCATTCAGAATGGACTAACTTCAAATTTCTCATAATAAATAAAAATTATATAAAAACCCGTTCGGCATTTAAAAAGTTTTTTGAAGGTAACATTCATGAGGCAGGTCCACGCCATCTGGTAACACTTGGCCTAACTTAATTGTGTAATTAATACACCACGCGTTAATATTTCCGTTTTCCTTATATTGAATTATTTTATTGTACTAACCATACTTTCGTGTTTAATTACTTAAATCTGGAGTTCAATTCCACATGAATAAAAATTCAGCAAGTTGGAATTAATAGCTGCATGTTACCAATACTGTAATCAACATGACAATAAGCAATAAATGCAACGTTATGCTAATTATTCCATTCTTTTAATTACAGGATACTTGCTGGCCTCGGCAAAAATATTTAACGCGGTCCCTTTGGAAAGCACAAAGTTAAATAAAATGTTCACCAACAAGTGTACCTGTGCACAGACAAAACTGAAGAGGAAGGTGATGGCATTGCCAAAGTAGGAGAAATATAAACTGTCACGCAATTAACATTAACCGAAGCGCGTTTAAAACAAACGTTTTAAATTGCGCTATAGCTTTGATTCATGTTTTATAACTTATAACTGTTACATATATAAGTTATATACATT